CAGATGGCTGAACAAACTGGCTGAGCAATTTACAGTGAGGTACAGGTCAGAGGGCAGAAGGCCCCAAGTGCCTAGCAACGGGCAAACCTGGTGCCGGCCCTTCCCCCGGGGTGGCCTTTCCTCCCCCGGCATATCGCTGGCCTTGCGGTTTAGACCCCCAGACCTTTCCTCCCTGGAGATAACATCTAGGCCCCAGTTGTAGTTCAGCTCCAGGCCCCAAAAAACGCACAACTAGAGAGACGCTATCAGGACCAGCTGCAACAGCTAATGATGCCCCTACCCCAGTGCCAGCCACTCCGTGGAGCCCATGACCCTGAAAGGACACTCCTGGAGAACCAATGCTTGTCTATCGAGATCCTCCCCTGAGGCCCCTCTTAAACTCTCTGCCTGTGGGAAGCAGATAAAACCCCTCAAGACAGAGAAGCCAGCTCAGGTCTCTCTGGGGTATGCCCATGCCTTATTTTGGGCGTGAATTTTTTACTTCCTTTCTCCTAAACTTTAAGGGTCCCCATTGCAAGCAGGGGAGCAATGGACAGTGGCATCTTGTCCCAGGCTAACCCCCCGCACCTGTACCCAAGGCCCCTTTTCTCTGATTCTCCCGTGAGCTGACCGCAGCCCCTGTCCAGTGAGCTGACGGTGAGCCAAGGCTCACTGTCAGTGTTGCTCATTCGTGCACTGTTTCTCGAGAGCTGAAGCAGAGCACCACCTGCTCTCTCTCCTGAGCTCCTTCCACCCTAGGCCCTTCCTCACCTCGCTGTCCCCAGCTTTAATAAATGTGCTCTCATAATCACTTGGACTTGTACTGTGAAATCTTTCCTGCATGGAGCCAAGAACCCACACACTCGAGGCCAGTCCGAGGCAGACCTGCTCCAGGCCCCGTCCCTTTCTGGAAACAGTGGGATTTAAACACACACACACACACACACACACACACACACACACACACACACCCCAAACAAGCCAAACTCATAGAGAACAGATTGGTGGTTGCCAAAGGCGGGGGGCAAGGGGGGCCGGTGGGATGCAAATGGATGCCCAGGTTCAAAAAGCACAGCTTCCAGTTATAAAATAAATTAAGTTCTGGGGATATAATGTACAGTATGGAGAGTTGTCCTGTACACAGAAGGGTTGCAGGTTCGATTCCTGGTCAGGACACACACCTAGGTTGCATGTTCAGTCCCAGTTAGGGTGTGTAAGGAAGCAAACAATGTTTCTCTCACATTGGTTTCTCTCTCTCTCTCTCTCAAATCAGCAAAAATATCTTTGGGTGAGGATTAAAAATATATATTAAAAATAATACTGTATTGTATATTTGAGAGTTGCTGAGAGAGTAGATATTAAAAGTTCTTATCACAAAAAATTTTGTAACTATGTGAGTTGGCAGAAGTTAAGCAGACTTATTGTGGTGATCATTTTGCAATATGTACAAATATTAAATCATTATGTCCTGCACCTGAATTGAATATAATGTTATATGTCAATTATATCTCAAAAATAAATGGACAAAGTTCAAAGGTACTATTGCACTGTTCCAATAGTTCCCAGATATAATAGATTTAGATCGTTTCCCAGATAAGAGTTTTTAAATTGTGCTTTCCTTGCTAACTGTTTTATGATTAGACTGTTAAGTCTTTGACATTGAAAGACTTTACTTACTCCGGAAAGGGACCAGGTCCGGAACGGAGCTGCCTCAGGCCAGCCTGCAGTGTGTGGGTTCTTGACTTCATGCAGGAAAGAGTTCACAGCACGCATCCAGGTGCTTTTGAGCGTGCGCTTACTAAAGCTGGGGACGGTGAGACAAGGACGTGCTTAGCACAGAAGCAGCAGCAGCGGGGAGCCTAGCAGGGCTGCTTTGGCTCTCTAGGAACGTTATAGGAAATAAATGAGCCCGGGGGGGGCTGCTGGGGCTCACTGGAAACTCAGGGAAAAAGGGTCTTACAGACAAGTTCAGGGTGTCAGTGTGGGAAGAGCTGCCGCTCCCCATTGCCCCCCTGGCTTCAGGTCTAGTAGGGACCCTAGAGTTTAGGAGGTGCTCGCCTGTGGAGGAAAAAAAAGGAAGGGGAGGCGGAAGGGGAAGGCGCAGCATGCTGGCTGGGTCTTTTGTCTTCAAAGGCTGGGGGTTTAGGGGAGGTCTTAGGAGAGAATCTCAATAGAATATTCATCAGTTTTATGCTGATGTGCCAAAATGAGGTTTATTCCTTTAACTTTATCTGTCCTTGGTTATGGAAGATAGGATTTTGCAATTTACTAGATGGCTATAAACATCTTGGCCAGCCCTGGCTGGTGTGGCTCAGTGGATTGAGTGCCTGCCTGCAAACCAAAGGTTCACTGGCTCAGTTCCCAGTCAGGACACACGCCTGGGCTGCAGGCCAGGTCCCCAGTAGGGGGCGCACAAGAAGCAAATGCACACTGATGTTTCTCTCCTCTCCTTCCCTTCCCCGCTCTCTAAAAATAAATAAAGTCTTAAAAAAAAAAAAAAAAAAAAAAAGAACAAAATCTGTCTCAGTTTCCCTGTCCCATTGGTCCTGGCTCCCTGGCCTGTCTCACACTGACTCCACAAGTTCTTCTGGTTGGGAATTCAGGGAGGTGAGAGAACACGTGCTACCCGGGCTTTGGGATCCCCAAGAGGCTCTACGGCCAGCGCCAGGGCAAATGCCTAGAAGGCAAGTGAACTTAGGAAGAGGAGAAAGTTGGACAACTCGAAAGCAGATCTGGAGCAAATTTTAGGCGGTAAAGGAAGGCCCAGCATCTGTCTGGTGTTTGGCTCTCCGCTGCCATGGGGGAGGGAGACTCAGGGGACACGATGCCAAGAGGCTGTGGAGAAATGGGTTTATGCCAGGCTAGACACACCTTTGAAAGTCATTCCAGGAGAAGGGAACCAAGCACACACACCAAATAAAAGAGAGTAAAATGAAATGCAGGTAGTGTTAATATCTTCAAACTGCAAGCACCTTTGCAATTGGGAAGAGCACAGTTTGAAAGTGAAAGTCAAGAGCTTTAGCAGAAACTTAAATAATGGAGTTTATGGAGAAAAAAATAACGTAAAACTTCCTAGGAAATTAACTGTAAGAGGGAACTGACTGCAATGTGTGAAACTTCAGCCACGAGGTAAAAGAATGAAACAAAAAATGAGCCAAAGGTTTTGAAGGAGAATTGGGGAGTGGGAGCAACGTGTTTTTAAAACAAATCCAGATTATTTTCCTGGGGTGTGGGGAGACTTACGGTATAATTTGTCGAGGACCCATTCTGCTAGGGAAAAGCAAAAAAAGAAGAAACACCATCTTGAAGAAAAGAAATACCCACAATCGACCAAAAATTAACTGAAATAAATTTCTGGCCCTCAACAAGGGATCCTCACCCCCAGATGTCCCAAAGTCAGGCCTTGGCAGAGGCCCAAGAAGACAAGGAGCCTCTGTCATAACGGGGGGCTGGGACTGAATGGGTCACGTTGGGTCCATGAGGGCTGTGCCCCTAGCAGCCCCACCTTACAGATTCGGAACTGGATGTTTGGAGAGAGGCTAAGTAACTCTGCAGTCATGTGACTGGGGGAGGGTTCCTACCCACCACGACACCCTGCCCTCCTCCCTGGGTTTCTGGAGGCAGCCATGGAGCAGGGAGCTTTCTGTAGAGTTTTGTAACTATGGGTGGGCTACGTCTGAGCGCAGCTGTGGGCAGGTTCTGTCTAGGGTCTGCAGGCCCCACCCTGGCCTCTGGCCCCCACACTGCAGGTGCAGGAGCCCATGAATAAGCGCTTTGCTGGGGACTCTGGCCTTGGTGGGCACAGGAGCGGGCACTCAGACGGTAGGCAACACACTTTTAAATCAGGGACAGCAAGGGTCCCTACATTCTCCCAGTGGCTTTTAGAGACAACCTTGAGAAATCTGCCCTTCTATCAGATCAGCCTGACCCAGAATGTTCCCTAAATGATCCCCAGAGACTCACTTAGCCCTGTCCTGTGACCTTTGGTCTCATCTGGATATTTTGAATGCTGTTAAAGTTACCCCAATGCAAAACTGCCCGGGAGGTGGCTGTGATAGCAGCAGCCACGCGCCAGGCTGGGCTCTTCCAATCCCAGAGGAAGGCCTTTTCTGAACTAAGAGATTACAGCTGCCACCTGAATCACCTCTGGTGGGCAGGTGTGGGTCTGCCCCCAGCTGCAAGCACAGCTGGAGCCCCTCCGCCCCCTCCCCTGAGAGAGCCGGGCCTCTGGGACTGCGGCCGGGGCCAGAGCCCTGCGGCTAGATGTGCTCCTTTCCCTCTCAGAGCCTCAGTTTCCCCGTTAGATAAGCGAGAGGGTGGAGCTGATGGTGCTTTGAGCCCCCTTCCCACTCTACAGTAGTGAACACAGGACTGGGCAACTTTAACAGCAGCACCGTCAGACTGAACTGGCGCGGCTACAGGTGCAGATGCAGGTGCAGGTCCAGGCAGGCAGGGGTCTGCAGGAGGCCACACTCCGTGTCTGCATGTGCCAAACTCCCCTGCAATTTCCAGGTGGTGCCAAAACCCAGTCCCTGGGAAGTGTGAGTGGGAAGGACTTGCCAACCTCTGGTCAGCTTGGTTATACCAAGGTCCTCAGGAGAAAATTCCTGGATAAGAGAGAAAACATCATTCCAATGGCTGCGTTACAAGCTCAGTGGTTTGTCTGTGCTGCCTGACTGGAGTTGTAAATATGGCCTATCAAGGTACTAAAAGAGTTGGTTCCAAAGTTTATTTCCTCTGGTTCCAGCCTTTAGAGAGATTTCTTCTTGAGGGATGCAGCTGATTTGGGGGAAATCTAATTAAGAAAAAAATTGATCTAGACACAAATGAACAAAACAAAAATGTTTCTGGTGAGAAACTGGCTTGCTTGACCCTCCCCTTCTGTTCCAGTGTATCCAGCCTTCGTTGCTTAAAAAAAAAAAAAAAAAAAAAAAAGTGTTTAATAATTACCTTTGTTGACCTCTGTACCTTCTGGCTTCCTCCATTCCTGGGCACAAGACATGGTCATTCCTAGGGCACGACCGAGCAGACACAGGCGTTCAGCCGCACGGGCAATTTCGCGGGCTCTGCAAAGTCAAGAAGAAGGTAAGACCGATGGGTGATGGGCAGGCTCGCCGCTTTCCTGTCCAGGGGCTGGAAAGGGACTTTGGAAAAAGAGTACAGGACAGGGTTTCCCATCTAGGGAAGCCTGGAACTGATTTTCCTCAGCAATTTTTTTCATTCCTTGCACCACTCAATGAAAAACATCTACGTGGTATATCTATTGTGTGTGAGGTGCCTTAATCATTGGAAGTAATTATGTGAAAAACATTCCTTCCTCAAACTTGGTTCTACTAAGCATACTCCAGAAATTTTACTATTAAATACAATATTTCTTTTTACTTTGGAAAAAAAATGAAGTAGGACCATGAAGGTAGAGTGACTTTCCAAGTGTGTCGTTGATGAGGATCAGGAGCCCAGAGGCGCAGGCGTTGGCCCAGGAGCTCTGCTCCTGGGCCTGAACAGCATCATGAAAAATCGTTATTCCTGGGACTGAGCAAATTATCCCCAGTGGGCTGGCACCTGTACTTTCCTGAAACAGTAGCTGATAATCTGCTTTTGGAGTCAGTTCCCACAACCCAGTGCGTTAGCAGAGAACAGCCCTGGCTGAGCTCCGGCTGCGTCCCGTCTGCTAGAGCAGTTGCTGAATCAAGGCCCCTGCCTTCCTTGCAGCCTCCTAAAACTGGCAGGAGGGGGAAATGGAGGAGACAAGACTGAGAAAAAGGGGAGAGGACCAGAAGTCTATCCAGAGTAATGAACCCAAGACCACAAGTCTCCAAAAGGAGGTAAGGTGGGCCTTCTGGCAGGCCCCTCCCAGGCGGTGGGCATGCGAACGGGGGAGCTGCCCTGTGAAGTCCTCCTGACCTCTGATTTGTAAAGTACATCTCTAAATGAACTTTTTTTAACACTTAACTTCCTTGTCTCTTACCAGTGAGCTCAGCATATTCTTGTGGAGTTAGTATGTGTGTGCTTCTGGGCACCGGGCAAGCCCGGGGTGCTCTTGTTGGCTCAGCCCAGTGTCCTCTTCAGGGACGGTTGGAGAGAACCTTGAGACAGCTGAGTGCCCTCTGTGGCGTCTTCCTCAGATATCTGTCCCACTTAGGTTTGAACAGCTCCAGGGAGAAGAAACTCCCACTGCTGCTCAGCGAGCCTAGCGGGGGTGGTGACTGACAGGTGTGCCATAGGCGAGCCCTCTGAGCTGGAATGTAGTAAGGGCTGGACTTGGAGGTGCCTGCAGCCTGGGGGTGGGGGGCCCGGATCTTGTGTAAGATGGGGCTGACGGTGGGGGGGGCCGGGGGTGGGGGCCGGGCGGGGGGTGAGCAAAGGCAAATAAGAGGGCGGTGCTGCACACTGAGCAGCACCAGTCCCCGGTGGATGGTAGCTGCAGGGGATGAACGGGGAGGCTCAAGCTTCAGGCTCAAAGGATGCGGTGTGAGGGCCAGGAGCGAGAAGATCGGGGTGTCTTCCAGAGCGGGCGCAGCGGGCGGAGCGCCGGGCCGAAGCTCCGGGAGCTCCCACTCCCGCAGCGCAGGGGGCAGAGCGAGGAGGGATCTGCGGATTGACGGGGGTGGCATGGCCGGACCGAGGGGAACTCGGGTCCCCTGGAGTCGGCCGATGGGCAGCAACACCCTCCCTTCGGGCCATGGAAAGAGCACGACTGCTCTAACCCCGGCGAGCCCTAACCTCAGGCCCGGGCGGGGCACGCGGACCTCTGCAGGGGGGCGCCGGGGGACATGGAGGAGGCGCGGCGCCCACTCCGCCGCAGGGGAGGGAGGCTGAGGCTGAGAACGCCCCGGGCTCTCACCCTGGCCCGCGGCGGCCGCAGTGGAAGCTGACACTGCTCCCTGGGACCCCGCCTTCAGTCGTGTGTGTCCCTTGGTGGCAAACGCCCTGTTCTCTGGGCTCAACCTCGAGCGCAGCCTCTGCCCAGACAGGCAAACAGAAGCACGTTCGCCTCGGGCTCCAGGACTCGGGCTGGTCAGTCTCCTGAGGGCTGACATTGACAATAGGGGCCTGAATCAGACATTTTCTTCCTTTAAAAAAGGTGTTTTTCTTACTTGATTCCTGTATGATTAACCCACAGTGAAATGTCTAGCTCTTCAGGGTTCAGTCTGATGAGTTTTGACAAAGGTATGGCCCCAGGGAGTTCCCTCCTGCCCCTTTCCCCGCCGGCCCCTCACCCAAGTTCCGCTCCGGCAGGTTCGCTTTGCCCGCGCTGGGGCCTCCTAGGAATGGAACCAAACGGCTCGCGTCTGAGCCTGGTCGGGAGCATCGGAGAGAGTCCACAGCCCCCAAGAGTTTCTGTCCCTGGGCCTCCATTGCTCACCTCTCATCCCGCCCCCTGATGCCGCTGGTGGGGACCCCAATCCGCCATTTCACTGTTAGCGCCCCGGGGAAAAGCTCCATCCTGCCCTGCCCAGCCAACAGGCATGCCCATAGAGCCTTTCTTTCTTTCTTTTTTTAAAGCTTTATTTATCAGCTACAGTTGACATTCAACATTATTTTGTATTAGTTTCTGGTATACGGCAAAGTGGTTAGACACCTACGTAATTTACAAAGTGATCCCAGGGACAGTTCTAGTACCTACCTGCCACCATACAGTTACTACGATATAATGGCCTATTTTCACTATGCGTTCTTACAGCCCCATGACTACCTTGTAACTAATTGCCAGTTTGTACTCCCTAGTACCTACAGTCTTTCTTGTTGGGGATTGTTTCCTCATCAGCTTTTACCCTCAGAGCCCCCCTGTCCAGGGTGGCAAGGGACTGGTAGGTGCATGGGAGCTGAGCCAGGTCTACCTGCACTGCCACATGACCCTGGGCAGGAACGTAACCTCTCTGGGGCCTCCATTTTCTCTTCTGTAAAATGGGCATGACACGGTGTTCCTGACTCACAGGACTGTTGTGAGGATTGATGCACTTAGTCTGAGCAAAGCCCCATGAGCGGCATCCTGGTGTTCCTCCAGCAACAGCACTGGGTGAAGGCCTGGGAGAGGGCTTCCCTTGGGGCTGTGCTGGCTGGACCTGAGGGAGGGAGGGCGCGACGGAGGGAGGGGGCTGCGACTGGCCATCTGAGCCGGATTGGGTGCAGCATTGACTCCCCTCTCCTTCCTCCACATCCAAGGTGGGCCTGCTCAGCGGCATCTGCATTATTGTGGGCACCATCATCGGCTCTGGGATCTTCGTCTCCCCCAAGGCTGTGCTCAGCAACACGGAAGCCGTGGGGCCCTGTCTCATCATATGGGCGTCATGCGGGATCCTTGCAACACTGGGTAACGATATGCTGCTCCCTGGCCAAGCCACCTGTGGCACGTGGGGCCAGGCCCTCTGAGCACTCTCGTGTGCCCGGCCTCGGGGCTGCTGGGTCCCTTTCCATGCTGGGGCGCAATAGGTGTAAGTCAGGCTGCATCAAAACATCCAGAACTGAGCCTAATCCGATGAGAGGGCACCACGGAGGGCCCCTGTGAGCAGGGCCCTGGCCTGGCCCCGGAGGGGAGGAGGGCCCTCTCTCCAGGATGACGCCTCCTCTCTGTGTTCCAGGTGCTCTGTGCTTTGCGGAGCTTGGTACGATGATCACCAAGTCAGGGGGGGAATACCCTTACCTGATGGAGGCCTTCGGCCCCATCCCTGCCTATCTCTTTTCCTGGACCAGCTTGTTCATCACAAAGCCCTCGTCCTTTGCCATCATCTGCCTCAGCTTTTCTGAGTATGCGGCTGCGCCCTTCTACTCAGGGTGCAAACCTCCCGAACTTGTTGTTAAGTGCCTGGCCGCCGCCGCCATCCGTGAGTACCCGTGTGTGAAACGCTGGGCAGGGGTCAGAAAAGGCCTGGCACAGATGAGGTGGGCACGCTCTGGCTTCGGCTCCTGCACATCCAGAAATTGGCCAAGAGGGCCTGGAGGGAGGTGAGAATTGGGATGCTGCCTGGCTTTGGCCCAAAGTCTGTCACCCTTTGTCATCTGTGCTCTTCGGGTGTGGGAGCTGTCTGGGAGGGGTCGTGCAGGCTGTCCCCAGGGCAGCACTTGGCTGGAGCCTGGCTGCTTCTCCATTGCCCTCGGGTTTCAAAGATCATCATGAGGAGAGGTTAGGGAGATAGAAAGGAGTCTTACAAATGGAGATATTGAACCCCTGGCACATAATATTGTTCCCCCCTTCCCAGTGCTCATCACTACGGTGAACGCGCTGAGCGTGCGGCTAGGCAGCTACGTCCAGAACATGTTCACAGCGGCCAAGCTCGTGATCGTGGCCATCATCATCATCAGCGGACTTGTCCTCCTGGCCCAAGGTGACCTTCAGAGGGGGTAGGGGGGTGGGGGGGGTGACACACATACAGGCCTCCTTTCCATCTGGAGGTCTTACTGCTAAGCACACCTCTAAGGCAAAAACTCAACAGAAAGAATCTTTAGTTTCCCAACTTTCTAGGGTTTGTTTAATAACCTGAGGTCATAAATCTTCTTCCACATGGAGCTCATGCAAAGTCCCACTCCAGTCAGCTGACAACCACTATTTACTGTCTGGCTTAATTACAGGAAATACAAAGAATTTTGAAAACTCTTTTGAGAGCTCGAAACTGTCCGTGGGAGCCATCAGTCTGGCATTTTACAATGGACTCTGGGCATACGACGGGTGGTAAGGCCCGCCGAAGGCGGCACGTCCGGCTGTGGGTTCTTCAGGCTTTCCTGTCTGAAGCTGTGTAGAAAGCAATGGCTTCTCCTTTCTGGGGTTTGGTGGGACCTAAAATAGACCTTTGCATCTCCCTTTTGTTAAGCACTGCACACCTCACCCTTCTGTTCTCCTCGGACCCAGACACCTGCCCATTCCCAGTTCCTCTTGCGGCACTAGCCCTTGACGGAGGGCCTGGGAGCAGGCAGTGTGGGGCCCCTGGTGCCAGAAGCTTCTGCAGAAACACGCAGGCTCAGCCCACCCGGGGCAATCGGGGCAGCCCAGGCCCTTGACGAGACGAGGATATTTAGCAGCACTTCTGTTTCTCCCTTGAAAGTACAAGGCTTAGTCGATGAGATTCCGCTTATGACCTTTGAGGAAGAAGTGTGGCCGTCCATGACGCTGGTCTTTCCCTCGTGCAAAGCGTCTTCGGCTTTCATTCTCTTTTCAAAGAATTTTCCATTTTTTCAAAGAAACTTGGGGATTCATTACTGCTGATAATTCTTGAAAATTACGTGGCTGCCATGGAGGGCAAAGGCCAACTGACCGACGTGCAGATCCCCGCAGCCCTGGCATCTCCAGGGACTTCTCTGAAAGGAATGACCACAGAGCCCTGGCTGGGTGGCTCAGTTGGTTGGAGCGTTGCCCCTGTACACCAAAAAGTTATAAGTTTGATTCCCGGTCAGGGCACACACCTAGGTTTTGGGGTCCATCCCCAGTTGGGGCACATGCAGGGGAGCAGTGGATCGATGAATCTCTCTCACATCCATGTTTTTCTCCCCCCCGCCTTCTTCTCTCTCTAAAGTCAATATAAACATATCCTTGAGTGAGGATTAAAAGAAGAAGAAGAAATTACCACAGAATTTTGGCAGGAGAATTTCCCTATGGTGGAGAATCTTACATGAGGCCAACATTTATTATTTTGTGTTTCATAATCTTAGCAAATTATGTTACTCATGTTACTTTTCTTTCTCTAGGAATCAACTCAATTACATCACAGAAGAACTTAGAAATCCTTTCAGGTGAGAAAGCCAAGTCAGGAAAGGAGACAGTGGACAGGCAAGCGATTTCTCTTCTCCCAAGCAAAAAAGGGAACGGCTCCTGCCACTGTCCCAGACCCCCTTCCTGACACCGAGTGGCTTCCTATAAGCTCATTTCCCCTCCTTGGAGTTCCGTTTGGTTTGGGTAGTGGAATGTTTGCTGAAGGAACGAAGAACTCTAACTTCATCTCTGCCTTATGTTGCTTATAAACAATTCAATTTTACTGCCTGGGATGCAGAGAGAGGGAGTTCTTTCTCCTCCAAAGATGTCACAGGTGCCCCGCCAGTGGGCCTCAGGAGGCGCAGCTGTGTCCCCAGCCGAGCACAGGGAGCAGAGGGAGAGCTGGCCAGGGCAGTGGGGAGAGAAGGCCGAACCAGAACAGCAATCTCGAGAGTCCCTCAGGGGTGCTCTGGCTTGAGCCTGGCTTCCTGGGTTCCTGCCCCTCCCAGAAACCTGCCCCTGGCTATCATCATCGGGATCCCGCTGGTGACAGGGTGCTACATCCTCATGAACGTTTCCTACTTCACTGTGATGACAACGACCGAGCTCCTGCAGTCACAGGCGGTGGCCGTGGTAAGTGCCCAGGCCTCTGTGGGAGGGGGACAGGCAAGGCAAGACCCTCACAGGGGAGGAGGGACAGAACAGGCTAGGAGATGGGGAGGGCGAGCAGGGGAGGGCAGCACCAAAGACCCGCCTGAGGCTAAGGCCGCCAGCCAGCTGGCCAGGAAGGTCCCCTTTCTGGGCACACCAGTGGCCTGGGCCAGGGCAGGGGCTCTGACAGACAGGTGTGAGGGGGAGAAAGTGCAAGGGAGTCTCTGAAGAAGGGACTTAATAATGCCTTGTGGGCTTTAAGCGGGGTAAGAAGGGAAGCAAGGACGTGAGTGAGGGGCGTGAGGGACAGTGGAAAAGGTGGGTGGGGCCCGCGTGCTGGGGGCCTCTCGGAGCTGGGGTAGGACAGGAAACCAAGTTGGAACTGGGCAGCCAGGTGGCAAGGATGGGGCGCAGGGGATGATGTGTTCGCCCCTCTGAGGGGGGAAGGAGGTCAAGGTCATTCTGAGTGAGGGGCCCCCACTCAGTGAGAGGCCAGGGTGTCCGAGGACCAAGGGATATGGAGAGGGTGAGGAATTGCGACAGGGAGAAGGGGAGGGGAGATTCCTGTTCCCATCAAAAGAGAAGGAGACACTCTGAAGAGGGGAAAAGAGGCCCCGCTGTTTCCCTCCCGAGCGGTTCTCTCCTTTTCCTCTGCAGGAGGCATCATGGGCCACATTCACCTCAGGGGTGGGGGCCAGGCCCTCTGGGACAGCACAGCAGCTTTCTGGGGACCCATGGCTCCTGGGGGCCCCCGCGAGACCCTCAGGGCCTGTCTCACTTCTCTCACCAGACATATGGTGACCGTGTCCTCTACCCGGCCTCTTGGGTCGTTCCCCTCTTTGTGGCGTTTTCGACCATCGGTGCTGCTAATGGGACCTGCTTCACCGCGGGCAGGTAGGGGGCCCCCCCCGCCGACACTCAGCCCCGGGCACGGGGCCGCCAGAGCTGATTTCACAGTTGAGGAAGACAAGCCTCAGGGCCCACATCCTTAGGGCTCTACAGGCTAAATCCCCCCACACAAGCAGGAAACTGGAGTCCAGGGAAGGGGGCGAAAAGCACAGACAAGCTTGCACACGGGCCCTGGGCATGGCTGGCCCCACCGAAGAGAGGCCTGCAGTCCCCATGGGCGTGGCAGGCTTGAGCCCTGGGCAGAGTTTGGGGACACAGAGTGAGAGAGGCGTTGGTTCACATGCAGTACTTTCACCTTGTACTTTTTTTCATCTAATGCTATTTCTTGATCATCATCTCCTATCAATATACACACAACCTAGAACAGGGATTGGCAAACTTCTCCTTGAAGGGCCAGAGGGTGAGTATTTTAGGCTTGCGGGCCCAAACTCTGTCTTTGTGGCGCAAACAGGTGCTTTGCCATCCCGGCCAACCCTCTTGATCCTCCTGGCCTGGAGACAGTGGACATCTGTGCTGTATTCCATTTTCTTAAAAAAAAAAGAAAAAGATTTTATTTATTTATTTTTAGAAAGAGGGGAAGGGAGGGAGAAGGAGAGCAAGAGAAACATCGATTGGTTGCCTCTTGCATACCCTCACCCAGGGACCTGGCCCGAAACCCAGGTATGCACCCTGACCGGAAATCAAACCTGTGACCTTTTGGTTTGTGAGACGATGCCCAACCCACTGAACCACACTGGTCAGGGCTGTGTTCTACTTTATGATGTAGCAGAATTTAGCGTGCCCTCTGCTCATGGGCTAGATGGGGATTGTTCTCACAAACATTGCTGCAGGCGATTCCTTTCTCTAATTAAAAAAATTTTTCAGTTAAAGTTGGCATTGAGTATTATATTAGTTTTAAGTCCAGAGCGTAGTGGTTAGACATTTATATAAGTTACAAAGTGGTCCTCCAATAAGTCCAGTACCCACCTGACACCGCACATAGTTTTACAATATTATTGACTATATTCCTTATGCTGTACTTTACATCCCTGTGACTGTTTCGTAGCTACCAATTTATACTTCTTAATCCCTCATATTTTTCATCCAGCCCCTCACCCCTCTCCCACCTGTCAATCATCAAAATGTTCTTTGCATCCATGAATCCACTTCTGTTTAGTTTATTTTGTTCTTTAGATTCCACATATAAATGAAATCATATGGTACTTTTCTTTCTCTGTCAGACTAATTTCACTCAGCATAATACCCTCTAGGTCTAGCCATGTTGTTGCAAAGGGTATGATTTCATTCTTTTTGTGGCCAAGTAATATTCCACTGTATGTATGTACAACATCTTTATCCATTCAACTATTGATGGACACTTAGGTTGTTTCCACATCTTGGTTATTGTATATAATGCTGAAATGAACATAGGGACCTGTATATCTTTTTGAATTAGTGTTTGGATTTCTTCATCTAAATACCCAGAAGTATTTATAGGGTAGTTATAATTTTTTTGAGGAATCTCCATATTCTTTTCCATACTAGCTGCACCAATTCGCAACCCCACCAATAGCGTGCAGGGATTCCCTTCCCTCTACATCCTTGCCAACACTTGTTGATTTTTATGATGATAACTATTCTGATGGATGGGGTTTGAATTTGCATTTCTCTGATGACTAGTGATGTTGAGCATCTTCTCGTTGGCCGTCTGTATGTTGCAGGGGGCATCCTTGAACACCTCTTTGCCCAGGTGTCCAGCATTCTGAGTGCATATATTTCTTTATTTTTTGTAGTCTTTTAAATAAAATCCTCATTCAAGGATATGTTAATTGATGAGAGAGAGAGAGAGAGAGAGAGAGAGAGAGAGAGAGAGAGAGAGAACATTGATGTGAGAGAGAAGATGTGGGAGAGAAACATCAATACATTGCCTCCCCTACGTGCCCAGACTGCAGATCCAACCCGCAACCTAGGTGTCTGCCCTGACCAGGAATCGAACCTCTTGCAACCTTTTGGTGCACAGGCTGATGCTCCAACCAACTGAGCCACCCTGCCAGGGCGTGAGTGGATATATTTCTGAATGTGAAATTGCCAAAGATTTGATGCTTAAAAAAGTGAAATACATACCCCAAATCATTTTCTAAAGCTGTATGAAAGCACAGGCCGTGCGAGTTCTGCAACTTACATCTTCAAACACATTTTGGCTATTCTGGATTCTTTGTATTTCTACATGAATTTTAGAATCAGCTTGTCAATTCTTTTAAAAAAAAAAAAACCTTCAGGGATTTCAATCAGAACTATATTGAAGCTACAGATTGATTTGGAAGACTGCTATCTCCAAAGCATTGATTTGTCCAATCTATGGACATGGACCATCTCTCTGTTTATTTGAGTCTTCTTTAATTTCTTTCAAAAGTGTTTTTCAGTAGTTTCAAGTATGCAGTTTGTGCACATATTGTCAGACTTATCTCAAATATTTCATATTTTTGATGCTATTGTATTTTTAATGTAAAACATTTTAATTTCTGATAGTTTGTTGCTAGTGTATAGAAACACAATTTTAAAAGCTCTATTGAGATGTAAATATCATAAAATTCACTCTGTAATTGCATAATTCAATGATGTTAGTAAGTATTAAAGCTGTGCAAACATCTTCACAATCCAATTCTGGAACATTTCCATCATCCCAAGAAGTGCCCTCATGCCTAACGAAACCCCCACTCCCACCCCCAGCTCTAGGTAACAGTGATCTGCTTCTGTGTCTGGGAACTTTAGACACTTCATCTAAATGGAACAATATGATACATCATTCACATCTGGCTTCTTTCACAGCATATTATTTTTGAGTTTCATCTATGTGGTAGCATGTATCAGTTCAGTATTTTTAATTGCTGAACAGATTCCATTACATGAACATACCATATTTGGTTTGTCCATTCATCAGTTTTGACGGACATGTGAATTGTTTCCAGTTTGGAATATCATGAATAATGCTGCTACAAACATTTATATGTCATTATGTGGATTTATGTTTTCATTTCTCTCTGGTAGATTTCTTGGAATAGAATTGCTTGGAATAGAAGTTACTATATGTAGTAACTTTATGATTAACTTTTAAAGAAACTGCTTAACTGTTTTCCAAGTGGTTGTTCCATTTTAATTTCTATAAGCAATACATGAGAGTTCTAGTTTCTCCACATCCTCACTAACACTTGGTGTTGTCTTTTTGATTAGTCATTCTAGTGGGTATTACTATGTCATTGTAATTTTAGTTTACTTTTCCCTAGTGACTAATGACACTGAACTTCATTTCATATGCTTATTACCCATTCACGTATCTTCTGGTGCAATATATACTCAAATCTTTTGTACATTTTTAAAATTGGGCTGCTTGTCATCCTGTTATTGAATTGTAAAAGCTCTTCATACAGTCTGGATACAAGTCTTTTATCAGGCAGTCTGATTTGCACATATTTTCTCCCAGCCTGTGACTTGTCTTCCCATTTTCTTAATGGTGTTTTTGAAACAGCAATATTTTAAATTTTGACAAAATCCAGTGTATCCATTTTTTTCAGGTGTCATGCTTCTGTGTCATAACTAAGAATCTTTGCCCAACCCAAAGTCACAAATATTTTATCTTTTGTTTTATTCTGGAAGTTTTATAAGTTTATCTTTTACTTTTAGGTATATGATCCATGTTAAGTTGATTTTGTATAGTTCTGTAGTTGTGCAGATTAAAGGTTGGACAGGGACTTGTGCTATATTGGATTATGTTGGATATAATTTTTATGGGAATAAATCTAAAGTCTTTGCTTACTGGCTTCTGAGTTTTCTATCTCACATAGCTAAAACTTCCTCTCTCCTTTCAAGAACACCTACCTATGTTTTCTTCTATCACTTTACTGTAGCCCTTTGACCAATCTGGAAAAAAATATATATACATATATATAAATATATATATTTAAAATTTTATTTATTGATTTGAGAGAGAGAGGAAGGGAGAGAGAGAAACGTCTATTTGTTGTTCCATTTATGCATTCGTTGGTTGATTCTTATTTGTGCCCTTTCCTGGGAATCGAACCCAAAAGGCTGGCATATCGGCATGAAGCTCTAACCAACTGAGCTCCTGGCCAGGGCCTGGAATGTATTTTGATGTGAGGTAGAAATCCCACTGCCCCCCGAAACATTTACCTGCAGTCCTTGTATTTCTTATTGAACAGTTCACCCTTTCCCCTATTGGTTTGAAATGCCACCATTATCATTCCCAATGTACTTGGTTCAGTTCACTTCACTTCACCGATACGTATTTTCTTGTGCTACTGTTATACTCACACACTCCACAGCTGCAACACTATTAAATCTGAAAGGAATGATGCTCCCAAGTCAGGCTTCCCCTCGCCTGATCAGCATACCAGATGCACTTACTACAGTATTTTTGTCCAGTTCCAAAGTCCTATTTGCATTTTGAGTGCATGGAATTTATGTATTGGTTTGTGGAGAACCGATGGAATTTAGAGTGAATTCACAGCATCATCTTGAGCCTAAGTGCTCCCCCTCCATCTAGCAACTCCTTTCCTCCCGTTTTCATGGACTGTTCTGGAATTAACTTAATACCATGTTTGTATTTTTTCGCAGTTCAAATATGGGGTTTTAAATAGATGGTCCTTTTTGGCTTTTGTATTCCTGACTTCTAATTTTATTGTACTATAGTCAGAATATGTGATCTTTATCCTATCACTTCCTTGTAAATTTTAAGGCTTCCCTTGTAGCTTACTGCATTTTTCATAAGTGTTTCCTATAATATTGAAAATAACATGTATTCTATTAACTTCTTCTAGATTTTATCAAGATTGTACCTTGACTGTTGAAATCTCCTGCTGTAATAGTGGATTTGTCAATTAAATTCCCCCTCTTTTTTTTTTTTTTTTTGGTAGTGTCTTCTTGGTAGTATGTCTCTTTGGGTCACACAAATTCTCCCTCTTTTGGCCTTAAATGCTCTTCTGTCTGATACTGATGCTGCTCGACTGCCGTCTTTTGGCTGCTCTTTTTGGTGACATGTCCCACCCTCTTCACCTTCAGCCTGCCAGTGTCATAGGGGGCTTGTGTTCTGGCTCTTTGAACAAATCCCACCCAAGAGTCTCCAGCCGGGCAAGGTGAATCCAGTCACATTCAATGACGTGACTGCTACAGGTGGATTACTTTCTAACACAGTCCTTTGGGCTTTCTTGGTTTTTAAAAAACCTTATCCTGATTTATTACCAATCAAGTTATCTTTAATTTTTTTCTTCTGCTGGTAAGTTATATTTCTGCTCTTTGAGCAATTACACTTAAAAACTTCACATGAATACCTGACAGAGTATCAGAATCTCCATCCTCTTCCCTCTCCTTTGCACATGGTCTAGTGTATCAGCTACACCTTATTCATAAACCCATCCCGCCAAAAAAGTTCATCATGACAAAAATTAAAAACTGAATACTTACGTACATACCGTGTCTTACTGCTGGTCCTTAACATTGTTTCTTCAACCAGCAGCTTCTGGGTTCAGTTTCTTTTTGTGTTGTAGGCTTTTTAATAGTTTCCAGTGAGGACTGAAGAATGGTAAATGTCTCGTATCTATTGTTTACCTAAAAATGTATTTATTTTGCCAACAGTCTTGAATGACAGTTTAGCTATAGAAAAGTGTAATCTGAAAATCCATTTCCCTCATCACTGAAAAAGTCATTTCTCATGTCTGCTATTGTTCTGATTGTCATAATTTTGGAGTTAATCTTTTAAATTCAGTTTCTTCCCTTTTTTCTCCTACTACAATGTTTATATCCAGGTAGGTAGGTTTTTATTTTTCTAGAACTGGGTTCAATTTGAAGGCACAGCTTGCCAGTTCTGTAAAAGCTCTCTGCTCTACTTTGAATTTGCTTTGCCCCAGTCAGTGTATCCGAGCTTCTGCCTGTTTCATCTCTCAACTTCTGTCCACATTTTCCATTTCTCTATGCTTCATACTTAGATCTACCTTCTAATTTACCTTTTCACTTGTATCTATCTGTTGTTGGTTAACTTTTAATTACAGTAACTTTTTCTTTTTTTTTGGAAATTATGTAGCTCTTCCTTTCTTCTCTACCATTGGCAGTTTTAGATTACTGAACCATCCGTTCAACTAAGCCACTGTTTGCATCGGCTGACTTACTCTTAGTCTGCCTGATTTTTAAAAAAATACGGAAGTTCTGGGTTTAGGAAGTACATGGACCATCTGTGCTTGCTTCTGTGAGGTGCTCCAAGCACCGGGGTCAACAGGCCCTGGACTAGTTTTCACACTTATTTCTTGCATAACATCCAGGACTCCGCTCAGGTATCTACACCCTCCTTAGAGGGCCCCACAAGCCACGCCTGCCCTTTCCCTCCCTGAGATGACCCCGCTGCACCGGGGTACAGTCTTCCCTCCCTCACTCCTCCAAAGTCACCCACCGCCCAAGGCCAGACTCCCACCTGAATACACCAGGGTCGCGACTCAGCCCTTCTCCGTGGCCTCCGCAGGAAAGCCGAGGGCACGCTGGCCCGGGAGAGGCGCAGCAGCAGCCTGCACTCTCATCAGCTGGCCTCTGTGTTTTCCAGGCTCGTTTACGTGGCAGGCCGGGAAGGCCACATGCTGAAAGTGCTCTCTTACATTAGCGTCAAGCGCCTGACTCCCGCCCCTGCCATCATCTTCTATGTAAGTAGGAATTCCACCATGAACGCACTCCCTTAAAGGCAGAGGGTCCCTCAATTTGGTTGGTGAAGTAAACCTGTATTGCTGAGCCCAGTGGTTTACAAATGACCCAGGTTCCCTTAATCCTCAACCTGAAACAAGTGTATTTTAAAAAGTCCAAGACAATTCACACAATTTACCTAACCTCTGCTCTTGTCCTGAATTTATCTGAGACACTGTCCAAATGTCCCAAGCTCGTCCCCCCTGCACGTCTTACACGTGCATTTGTGTGCCCTGGGTCCCTGTAGCCAAGTACAGACTGACGGGGGAGGAGGGGAGGGCATTTTACAAGTTGGCCACTGGCAACAGCTTCTCATTGTGTCCTCGTAACTTAGAAGTCATGGGATCCTTGTGCAGTAATGGCCCTTTGATATCTTCTAATTGGAGCGTCTCGGTGGGGGTAGTCCTTGGTTGTGCGCAGCTGTCTTGGATGCCTACCGACCGTCCACCTGGCCTCAGGGCCCGACGCCTCCTCCCGCCACCACAGAGGGGACCACTGTCCTCTGCCAACTCACTCCCTTTGAAGATGAGGACACATGCCCAGAATTACAAGGCCCTTGGAATCACAAGGTGCAGATAATGCAGGTCAAGACCACACGCAGATGGCCTGAGTTTTGCAGCCCAGGGCCCTTTCCCATGATGCTCTCTGGAAGGAAAATTCATAATTAGGGAGATGGTACAATATACACAAGTTTATATTTTCCCCCCTTGTTTAAAGTCGCAGCTTCCAAGGGTCACAAATTTTCCAAGTCCTTTCCATCAGGCCTCAGAGAGAACACCTGTCATAGCCAGTCTGGTTCAACCCCAAAGACAACGGGGCGCAGGTCACCTTTATCCACAGGAAGAACTGTCTTCAATCTTCTATGAGGTGATAAGGATGGTGTTTTCATGTACTAATGGCCTAAGAATTCACTCTTCTTTCTACTAGGGTATTATAGCCATTATTTATATCATCCCTGGTGACATAAACTCATTAGTCAACTACTTCAGTTTTGCTGCGTGGTTATTTTATGGCTTGACAACCCTGGGACTGGTCGTCATGAGGTTCACCAGGAAAGAACTGGAAAGGCCTATCAAGGTAGGTTTAACACCCCAAATGTCACGAGTGCCTTCGACTTCTTGAAATGAATTAGAGGTGATTATTTTAAATTCTAGAGGCATGCTATTTCCAACCTGACTCTACTCTTCTCTGGCATATCGTGTTTTAGAATGGAGTTTGCTCTTTAATTCATTTCATATAGTTTATGATCCCATCAGCCATCTAATTAATTTACTAAGTTATCAAGAGTACCTGTGACCTGTCTAATGTGAGCAAGATGACCAGTTCTTACTGTTCTAGCATCTCTCAGACACAGACTTTTCATTGACGGAGGGGACTTCAGAGTCCTGGCCCCAGGCCCTTTCCTGTGCATGTGACCACCCGCAGTCACACGTGCAAACTGCTTGGGCTCCCTCCCACCGCCCTGTGAGGCTTGAGGAATCCAGACCTGGCGGACTGAGCGTCTCCCCCACCCCTGAACCCATTGATTGACTCAGAAAGTAGGACAATCATTCATTCATTCATTCAGTGCCTCTGGATGTGATTAAAAAAAAAAAAAAGCAAGCACTGGCTCCCACTACCCAGTTCTCTTGCCTCCAGATCGAACCACCAACTCACAGGAAGTATGAGGGAAAGGGGAGCAAATTACCAGGCAAAGCTGGAATTAACATGTTGTACAGGATAAATTCCTACAGCACATCTATGACAAGAAAAAAAGGGGGAAAACATGTTAAAAAAAAAAAAAAGTCCTAATCAGAGATGTATACTGAGTGTGTTATAGGTAAAATGATATGAAGTCTGTGATTTTCTTTATATTCTAGGGAAATGAAAAAAAGGTAGATGAAATAAGGTTGGCAACGTCACTTCATCATTGAAATGGGAGGAGGGGTCTGTGGCGTTCATTAATTCTTTCTGTATCAGTGTTTTGGTTTTGAAAAAGAAATTCCACAAGAAGCCACATGCACGTGGCCCAGTCTGACCCCACGCTGCTTCGCCCCCAGGTGCCCATCTTCATCCCGGTCTTGGTGACTCTTGTATCCATGGTTTTGGTTTTGGCCCCAATCATCAGCGAGCCTGCGTGGGAGTACCTCTACTGCGTCTTATTTATGCTGAGCGGCATTATATTTTACTTCCTTTTTGTCCACTACAAGTTTGAATGGGCTCAGAAGATCTCAAGTGAGTATCAACAGCGGGGTGGCTCCGCTGTTAGTGCCGCGCGGATGGGGGCCCTGCAGCCACGCCCTCCCCGCTGCTGTCCTGAGACTGTCCCAGGGTCCCGGGCAGCTAGCAAACTTCACTTCTGCTTTGTGAGGACACATGACCCCTTAACCTCAGGGTGACACCTCTAGGGTCTACCTGTGGCTTCCTCCTCTGTTTCCTCAATTACTGTAACAAGCGAAAAGGGAAAGCACCATTTTCTTTTTTATTGAGAAATACACATAAAGTTCACCATCTTAACCGTTTTGAAGTATGCAGTTCAGTAGCAGTGAGTTCACCCCCACTTTGGGCCCCCCTTCTCCAGAGCGCCAGTTTCTTTTGCCCGATGCACAGACATCGACTGAGAGGCTCGGCAGCACTCCTGGGACACCCACAAAGTGACCAAGTTGAGAGAAGGGCCCAAGTCTTCAATGCCAAGGCCACGGCTCTTGTTTTGCACTCAGCAAGCCTGGTTCCTCATCTGTTTTAAGACAGCCATTTAAAAGTTTAGCTACATAGCCACCTTCCCTTTGAAAAAGAAAGCAGTGGTGCCAAAGGGCATCCAGGAGACTGCAGTGCACCAGCGTGTGCCTGACACACACAAGGTGGTGTTTCTGTGGCAGATGTCACCCGCTGCAGGGACCTCCCAGGCCCTCAGCACCCTCACCAGGCCAACAGTGAACCGCGGCCCACTTCCTGGTCTCCCCCTCCCTATACTGTGAGTTCCCAGAAGGCAGGAATCGGGCTGGATCTATACAACAGCCACTTAATATTAAATGTGATTAAAAATCTGCCTCTCCCTTTCTCCTCCAGCTTGTCTGAGCAGGGAAGTACAACCAAAGGCAGGCACACGGGGTAGGAAAGCAAAACCCGACAGGCAGGTGGTGCGGTTGCCCGAGACCTGGCTCAGACTGAGGCAGCAGGGACCAGGATGCCTTCCCCCAGCTCGGGCCAGTGGCAGGTCCTCTCTCGGCCTCCATGTCCTCCTCTGAGTGATCAGGTACCACCACTTACCTGACAATGGCGTTGGAGGCGAGAGAGGATGTGTTTCATGTTGATCAACAAAGTGAAACTGAATACAAACCAATTGATAGCTCTATCATTTCCACCAAGGGCTGATTTCCTTTCCTGACACAGCTCACTGCCTGCTCCCTCAACCTCTTTACTATAATCTCACCCTTAGCGGAGAGAGGGATTGCAGACACACCGCTACAGAAAGGGAAGAATTCAGTACTATAAGAAAAGCAGCCATTTTCCCCCATGCTTCTGAAAATAAACTTGGATTGGATCATACTGACAGAATCTAGCCAGGATGACTTAGAACTTAAAAGTGCAAAGTATGCCCCCTGCACTGTTCCTTTTTTTTCTTTTTAACTGACTCTATTAGGGTGACATTGGTTGATAAAATTATACAGGTTTTGGGTGTATACTTCGAAAACACACATCTGTGTGTTGTGTTGTGTGTTCCCCACCCCATGTCTCCTCCCATCCACATTCATCTCCTCTACAATTCCTTCTGCCCGCTGTCGAATGTCTTATTTCTCAGCTTTAGAATATTTAGCCAAGTTGCTCCCTACAAGAACTGATAAGAGGTTAGAATTAAGCAGATGAAAAGAACGAATAATCTGTGTTTTAAACAAAAGCACTGTAGCTGCCAGGATGGCTCTGCCTGCCTCCAACGGCCACGTCCCGGGCGCAGGTGAACGGGCCCCCCGCGGAATAGCAGCGATGTTACTGTTCACCAAGAAGCGCGGCAACGGTGATTTAACCACAGTGCCCTAACTGCACTTTTTGATTGCTTTCCGCTCCAGAGCCCATCACCATGCACCTTCAGATGCTGATGGAAGTTGTCCCACCAGAGGAAGCTCCAGAGTAACTCAGTCTCCTTAGCCAAGTCCCAGCTGTGATGAATTTATTTTTGTAAGCAATATTTGTAGTTATTTCTTCCTGATGTTTTTCTTAAGAAAAAAATGTATTCAGATGTCTATATACTGGTGTTTTTAGTTCTCTGGGTGGGGGGTGCTAGACAGGAGAAGCGACAGGCGTTTGCTAAGTTAGCAAGCGAAGATGTCACTTACAGATGGCGGACGGCTGCGGGAGGGCTGAACTAAAAACTACCACCGTTACAACGGCAACTCTTCAACCAGGAACACACATCACACCTGCTTCAATAAAGGGTATTCTTTAAACTCAGTGATCACAAAGATATACATATTTTTAATATAAAATTGGTGAAACTTTTGATTTGATTGAAACATTGTTAAAATACTACAGGACAAATGTTTACTACTTACACGACTACTGCCGCCCCTTTAGTTAACGGGGGCTGTGCCTGGCAGGTGGATCCCAGGCTGAATGTTGGGGTTCCCACTGCAGAACTGACCCCAGGAACCGTGAGGCGCATGGCGATCAGCCGGCAGCACCACAGGCTCTCCAGCGGCCTTCACTGACATTTTGGTCAAAGCAGAGCATCATGGTGAATAAAACTCTAGTTTGCACTGGGCATTCGGGGAAAAATGCTGTCTAAAAAAAATGTAACAAGTAACATTTCTGAGGAAATACTGTAATTTTATTGATATACTTCAAAAGAGATCACACAACTATGTGAGCAATTTTAGAAGCATAAAGACAAAGTATATTTACCTTGCATTTTAGTAGTTTTCCCAAAACATGAAATCAGTACATAGTAATAGAACAAAAAACCAATTAGTAATTGTTTACATTTCACCAGTGTCCTATGTCCTACAAAATGTTATTCAGAGCTTCAAATAGTAAATATAAACATCTTAAAAAAGGAACGAAGATCAGTATTAAGGCACAGCCCCGCTCCCAGTACTGTCATTTGGCTCCTTGTGAACCACACACGACAGTAAGCATTAGTACGTCTTCCCTGAGAGCAGGGCCCCAGCATTTGCTCGTGGGAAACACATCTGTAAAAGGTGAAAGATTTATACGATCTGAAGAGAAACCAGAGTATGGGAAACACACTCTATCTGTGCACCTCTATTACTTGCTATTACTATTCGCTGCAATTCGCAAGAGTGACTGAGTACAACCGAGCAGAAACTGCAGGCGGCCAGCACCCACAGGGCAGGCCGGTGCACCCAGCAGGAGCGAAGGCTGCACCTACAGTAAGCGGCCCCTCAGGAGCACAGGAGAGCTCTGCAGTCAAAACCTTTGCCAGCAAAGACATGGAACTTCCTATTCCTGGAAAACCCTGCCCCGTTTAGCCGAAAAAAGGAAAATCACCACCTTACTTCATGTGCCGATTTGACACCTGCCAGTCCAATCCCAGGGTCAAGGCAGCAGCAAGGATGTGCTCCTGGTAGCGGCTGTCCAGGCTGCACACCAAGGGCTCCCGCCAGAGGGCAGCGACTGACCTCCATCTCGGAGCTGCCACCCCGTGCCCCCCAGCGGAACAGAGGCCCGGACACAGCAGCGTGGGGGCGGTGTGGGGGGCTTGTCACCTCCTGAGGATAAGCTGTGTGGTGAGCAGAAGGTCTTATTCTACAGATGAGGAAACTGAGTCACAGTGTGATCCAAACCTGCTCACAGGACAGCCGGGTGACAAGAGTTTACCTGCCTTTCAAGGAGGAGCTTGTTCCTGGGACACCGCAAACCTGACCATCTGTGCTTTCTGACATACGGACGGATAAAGATGTCGGGGGCAAGTCACAGCAGCCCTGTCCCAGCCCTGTCTTTCCCACTGCAACTCCCCTTTCTCCCTTTCCCAGTTAACACGGAAAGTCAGGCTCCGGGCGTTCCCACATTCAAAGCGTAACGACAACACACTTCCCCTGAGTACCTTATGAATCCGGGTGCCAGAGCCCCCAGAATGGCGTCATGAATGTTTTGAGGGGTCATCACCTCCAGTTGTCCCGAGGGTTACCTGCAGGCACCCACAGGCCCTTTTCAGTTTCCACGGAAGGGAAACCTTTGTCCTGCGTACCCAGGACTCTGCAGTTCAGAGGGTTCTTTAGAAGCAGCAGCTTACCTCCAGCAAGCCCGGGGTCTGGCTGGTACTGCTGAGGCCACCCCATTTTTGTCTTTGGCCTCTCTTCATATGAAGTAAACCTATCCAGAGGAGCTATCGATATCTTAACACCACTAGAGGACTGGCACACACAGCTACATCGAATCCCAGCTAACTCATGGTTGAAAGGCTCTGCTAAGCACTGCTGAGTAGGGATTTGTAATAGGGAAGCTTCAATTTCTATGTACAAGATATGCTTTGGAATGTATTGGGTTGGCCAAAAATCTGGTTTAGTTTTTTCCGTATGATGGCTCTAGTAGTGCTTAGTTGTCTTTTAACTCCATTCAAAGCAATATTTTTAGACTGTATTGTGCCAGCTGTCATATCACCGTGCTTTAAAAAAAACTTATTAAAATTTGTGCAGCCGTTTTAATACTGAAGATGAAAGAAGATAGGCAACATCTTTGGTGTATTGTGCTTTATTATTTCAAGAAAGGTAAGGTGCAACTGAAACACACATACAAAGAAGATTTGTGCAGTATATGGAGAAAGTGCTGTGACTGACTGAACGTGTCAAAAGTGGTCTACAAAGTTTCTTGGTACTACTGATATTTTGGCCAAGTAATTCTTTGCTGTGGGCTGTCTCATGCACTGGAAGATGTTAGCAACACCGCTGGCCTCTTACCCACTAGAAGGCACTAGCAGGAAACAGCCAACATACTGAAGTATCTAAATCAATGAAGTTATAGGTGAAAGTGAAAAATGTCTTTTATTTTACAGAAAAGACTAAATGAACTTTTTGGCCAACCCAATACCAAACATGGGTTTAAATGAAACAGACCCGCTCCAGAGAGTACAGCTCATCATCCAAAAGCCACCAGGTGCTTTGCCACCCCACTGGGATGTCGGGACGGGCTGCCCACGAGGTGCTGAGCAGCACAGCCCGGGGGGCCGGGTCCTGTTAGACCTCGCCTCCTGTCTCTGCTCCCACACTCCTCTCAGGGTCTCATCTTCAGCCCATTTAAGGTTTTTTTAATTGACTTTAGAAAGAGAGAGGAAGGAGGTGAGAGAGAGAGAGAGACTGACATTGATTTGTTGGTCCACTCATGTATGCATTCATTGGTTGATTCTTGTACGTGCCCTGATGGCTGGGGATTGAACTTGCAAACCTGGAATTATCAGGACAGTGCTTTAACCAACTAAGCTGCATGGCCAGAGCCTTCAGCCCATTTTTAAAATGATTCAGAATTTCTGACCATTACCAATCCCAGTGCCACAAGATGACGTTTAGTAATAAAAAGGTTTAAATGCCACCGCTCGGTGCCCTAACTCGCAGTCACACGGCTGTGCCCATCCATCTCTGTTCGCCGTCTCCCGGTCACGCCTCAGGATTTGATTCCCATTCTCATTCGCTCTCACTGCTGTCATCCTCCGAAGTTCGGTCACTGTCCTCGGTCACCTCTGCCACTTTGCCGGACAGGTTTTTAGCAGGCATGACTAAAAGAGTTAGATACTATTCAAAAACACGTTGGCTACAGACGAGCAAACCTTTTCTCCTCCCATTATTTTGGTCAATGCAGAAAAAGTTTCTTGGGTTCTACCTCTGTTTTGTGAATCATTTTATATTTTCATTATTTTGGGCAAGAAACAAGCAGATAAAATTCGCTTAGAAATAAATTTTTCTCCTAGGAAAGTTACCCATAAAAAGGCTGTAACAAGTTATGTTTATAACGAAGAGCTGACACCTCAAACCAGGACGTTTAGCACTAAGACCAACCACAAGAAGAAAACTCATTCCCAAGGGCTTTACATGACGATCCATTCCCACCAAAGCCACATTCCTACAGCGGCTGAGTGCTTCTGTCCCCCCTATGGCTCTTGGGACCCGCCACTGGGGCTGGTGTGCCCCTCTCACCCGTGGAGAAGTGGCTCTCCTCTTCGCATTCTTCCCAGTGATCAAAATCGAAGGCCACATTAGGATTCTGTTCAACATGACAGTTTACAGTCAGTGAGAAAATAAAACATGCTCAGGCCGTTAAGACCGGCCACGGTTAACCCCAACTCACCCTCTGTTTGAGTAAGCTGCGCCAAGGTTCCCTTCTCTCTTTTGCGAGAGTGATTATAGGTTCATCGTTTTTAATCACGCATCTGCAATCATCTTTTATTATGTTGGCCTGCAGCTCCAAATCAGCCAAGTAAAATTTCTCTCCTACCCAGGCACTAGGTTTACAAAAAGAAATAGTCAGTTTTTTTGTTAGACATTGTTAGACATTATTTCCATTTTACTTTGTAAGATTCATATAAACCTACCTGAAAATGACTCTATCTCTAAAATATTTACATTTGTGATCTTTTACATTCCTTATCCTTATCTTCAATACGATAACATCCTCTTTTTGGAACCACTTGACTTGTGGGTGGAAGCTGGAGGAAGAGAAAGAGGCTGATCCACCAGCGCCCCGCACTCGCTGGTGAGGGCGAAGGCAGCTCTCCGGCACCTGTGCGCACCTTTTCAGAGGCTCTGTGGTTTCGTCAATGGAAGTATCTCCAGCGTTTTCAGGTGAAGTTTCTGTACAAAAAGTCAAATTTTCCTATAGGTTATTTAGATGGAACACTATAATGTACACAAAGATACTTGTGTACTTTAATGTACTTTTTGTACATTACTATACTATACTATAATGTACTTTTTTGCACTTTTAACTGAGGAAAAAGTACTAAGAGTAAAAATTTCACAGTAACCCAAGAATCTAGTTGCAAAGAATAATTAGAAAAAATTAAAATGCATCTCATTTAGTAAAATTAATAGAAACAGGCTTTGACAAATATTACAATTAAACAACTGGGAAGGCTACTCTGAAGCGCCTCCGCATTATAATCAGTGGCTGTAGGATACAAATGTTCAGACTCCTCCACTCTCCTCTACAGCAAGGACCCACTAAAGACAACTTCCGGGATAGGAGGCAGGACACTCAATGACCGGTACTAAACATAACATTTTCTAAAACAATGCAACTAAACTTCT